ATGCACTAAACATAATTGAATGTGGATGTAGCTAATTTAGGGCACACAAAAAAAATGCAAAATTTCAAAGAGGACTGATAATGACTGGAGCTCTTGAACACCATTCCTCAAAGTATACGATGCCTTTTGTTGGCTGTGTAACCTTAAGCAAGAGCTTTAACCAATCCAAAAGCACATCCAAAAAAATGTATCTTATGAGGGCACTTGTGAGGATTATAGGAAATTATGCATGAAAGCTAGCCCAACATCTGGTGCATATTAAGCACTCATTAAATATTACCTATAATCATCAAACAGGTCGTTATATTGGAAAGCATTTTCCAAATATAAGTGGTGAAAAAATCTTTTATTGCCCACAGCATTTAGGATTCCATAGAACTTGAGAAATACTCTGAAGTACACTCAAACTCTACCAAAAAAAAAAAAAAAAAAATTCACTGTTTGGAACTAATATTTGAAATATTACCACTATTTCTAATCGATATTTATGAGACATTTGAGAGACAAAGGGGTAAAAGGTTTTTTATTTTCATAAACTATGAAGAGTACACTACCCAACAAAATGTATTAGAACAATATCTCTATGATTCTCTTGTTTATGTCCCAAGAATGTGATCAAGCTTCATTAAAGTATAATTAATAAAATGCCTTAGCTGTTCTATAAACATCAAATATGGGTCTATTTCCTTTTAAGCTTAGTAGTCTAAAGCTCACTCAGCAGTAGACAAGCTACAGAGATATTACATATTTTTGTTATCGGCCCCATTATTTACCTCTTTTGATTAAGTATTTGTACTTAATATTTGCTTTTTAACTAATGTTGAGGATACTAGAGTGTATTATAAATAGGGTTTCTCTTTGGTTTTTAAAATTTTCCTATTAAATATATAAAAACAAAATGCCTTCCATAGAACACACACACACACACACACACACACACACAAACGCACAATAGGGAGCTGAGTCACAGAAGAAAGATGGCACTAAGGCAACTGCTATTATGATTAGAGTATGCTAGGCTATAGCACTCATTGGATATTCTACTTTTTAAAAAAAAAAAAAAAAACAGCCATTGCAATTAAAGGATGATATGCTCTTTTCCATACTTGTAAACATCCTAGTGGTGGTGATAGATTAAATAGCAAAACCTTAAGTGTCAATCTATTTCCATTTCCACTTCAGCCTAAACTAACTTCTACATGTTTTACATGTCTTCATTGTGGCATTAAGAGGTTATTTGCTGGATTCTTGGACAGCTTAAGAGCTGAAAGCAGGGGAAAAAAAACAACCAATGGCATGGCTATTAGCATTGCTCCATAACTGTCCTTTTTCCGCCCCACTCTTTTCCCCATTCTCTCTCCACTTCTCCTTCTCTCCTCACACTACATTTCCACTTCTCTGTCTCTTCCTCTCTCTTTTTTTATACCTTGCCTACATCGCAGGTCCACCCATGATATCACCTGAACTGCCTCATACCACAGAGGCAGGGTGCGGTGGCTCACGCCTGTAATCCCAGCACACTGGGAGATAGAGGTGGGAGGACTGCTTGAGCCCAGGAGTTGGGAGACCAGCCTGGGCAACACAGTGAGACCCCAGCTCTACAAAAAATACAAAAACTAGCTAGGCATGGTGCCCTGGGAGGCTGAGGCAAGAGGACTGCTTAAGCCCAGGAGGTTGAGACCACAGTAAGCCAGAATCGTGCCACTGCACTCCAGCCCTGGTGACAGAGTGAGGCTCTGCCTCAAAAAAAATAAAATAAAATAAAATAAAATAAAAATAAAAGGCAAAATATCATACAGAATTGATGGCCAGCCAAGGTGGCTTAAGCCTATAATCTCAGCACTTTGGGAGGCCAAGGTGGGTGGATCACTTGAGCTCAGGAGTTGGAGACCAGCCTGGGCAACACAGCAAAACTCCGTCTCTACCAAAAATACAAAACAATTAGCTAGTTGTGGTGCACAAGCCTGTGGTTGCAGCTACTCAGGAGGCTGAAGTGGGAGGATCACTTGAGCCTGGGAGGAGAAGGTTGCAGTGAGCTAAGATCATGCCACTGCACTCCAACCTGGGTGAAAGAGACCCCGTTTCAAACCACGACAACGACAACAAAATAGCAACAACAAAAATATCATACAGAATTAATATGGTAACTAAAGAAGAGACTGAAATCTGGAGGGACTTTAATTCTCAACATTCCTTAGATTTTTAAGTAATAATTGTATTATTTACCAATTTAAAAGAGGTAAAAATATCCTAGAAACTTGAATGTTAGAAATGTCTCCAGCAATTGTCAAGTATCCCCTGGGGGATAAAATTACCCCCAATTGAAAACCACTGTTAGCTCATCAAATCCTCCCAGCTTTAATATAAGCCCATTTCCTCGTATTAATTCCTTCAACATTGCCACTCAGGATCCTTTTCCCATACCTTCTTGGTACTAACTGACACAACTGCCATACTATGGGAATATCTTTAACACCACTGCTCAGAGTGGAATATAAACTAGGTATCTAAAATGGTCTATAACCGCACTGGCCAACAGAAACAAAATGTGAGCCACCTAATGTAATTCTAAGTTTTATCACAGCAGTAGGAAAAAACAGGTCAAATTTTTATTGGGTTCAAACTCCAGCTTGTATCTTACATTTACAGCGTATTTCCACTCATATTAGCCACATTTCAAATGCTATATGTGACTATCAGCTACCATATAGGACAATGGAGAAGTATAATATATGTCATTAAGTATGGGAAGGAGATAGGAACAGATCAAATATTATGAACCTAATATATAATGAAATAGACGTGATATTTTAAGTACTGATTTTTTTCACACTGTTGGCTATACTAACTTGTCAAATTATATGCCTCCTTGGAAACTCATCAATTATATAAAGAAGACCACTACACTCCGAAGAGCCTGTAACAGAGGCATTAGTCTTACTGTCCCATGTGACCATAACAAGGCCGAGATTCCTACAATAAGCACCACTCTTTATGGAGAAACACTTGTAAAATAAAGTGGGTGCGCTCAATGCGCAATAAAGTAGTGTTTAGGCTTTCTATATCTAGAAAGATATATACCAACATGTTAAAAGCAATTACATGTAAGCGAAGGGAATTATGAGTAACTTTTACTATCTTTTTCTCTTGATTATCTATTTTGTCCTTTTCAACAAGGACAGGACCATCCCTGAGCAACTTTTTGGAAACGAGGGGATGGGAAAGTGAGTAATGAAAGTAAGTAAGCAAGGGTCAGAGACGCCAAAGGCACTGAAATGCCTGGGTGGTGCCACACAACTAAGAATTAGCCTTCTATGGCCTGAATGTTTATGTCTCCCCAAAATTCATGCCACTATCGTAACTCCCAAGGCGAGGGTATTAGGAAGTAGGGCCTTTTGAGGTGATTAGATCATGAGGGCAGACCCCTCATGATTGGGATTTGTGCTGTTATAAAAGAGAACCCAGAGAGCTAGCTAGCCTCTTCCACTATGAGACAACACAGAGAAGGCGCCCTCTATGAGGAACGAGCCCTTACCAGACACTGAATCTGCCAGCCCCTTGAACTTAGACTTCCCAGCCTCCGGAACTGTGAGAAATAAATGTTTAGTTTTTGATCCACCCAGTTTCTGGCATTTTTGTTATAACATCCCAAATAGGCCAAGACATAGTCTTTGCCCCACAAGTATCAACTATCCCACTGAGCATTCATTTTCATGAATAATCTTTGTAGAACTGAAACCAGTACCTAACTCTGTCATACATAAAAACACAAAGTATGTATGTCTCACGCTGCCTTAATGTATACTAAATATTCCCAAAATATAACTAATATATAAATCAAGGGCCAACGGTTCTGGTTTTTTTTTAATTCCACCAAAATCTGTTCACCAATTCAGAAAATTCAATCACTGAAGAGACCACTTATGACAACTAAGCCACCAATATAACACACCAGTACCCATCTATTTTTGAAGATGTTGAAGATTATTACCTATATAGGTGCAAGCATGTATTACTTCATCGTATCTTCTTGTAGGCTCATGCCTAACTACACTATAATATATCACATTTGGGCTTTTTTTCGGGGGGACGGGGGGTGGGGGTTTGAGATGGAGTCTTGCTCTGTTGCCCAGGCTGTAGTGCAGTGATATGATTTCGGCTCACTGCAACCTCTGCCTCCTGGGTTCAAGCAATCCTCCCACCTCAGCCTCCCATCCTCCCACCTCAGCCTCCCAAGTATCTGGGATTACAGGTATACACCACCACACTCAGTTAAGTTTTGTACTTTTAGTAAAGATGGGGTTTCACCATGTTGGCCAGGTTGGTCTCGAACTCTTGACCTCAGGTGATCCACCCGCATTGGCCTCCCAAAGTGCTAGGATTACAGGCATGAGCCACTGCACCCAGCCTCGCATTTGTTTAAATATATGTTTTATTGTTAATTACAGAGTTTTCTCTTATTTTTCCTTTATTATTTATTTATTTATTTTGAGACAGAGTCTCACTCTGTTGCCCAAGCTGGAGTTCAATGGCACGATCTTGGCTCACTGCAACTTCCACCTCCCAGATTCAAGCAATTCTCCTGCCTCAGCCTCCCAAGTAGCTGGGATTACAGGTGTCCGCCACCGTGCCCAGCAATTTTTGCATTTTTAGTAAAGACAGGGTTTCACCATGTTGCCCAGGCTGATCTCGAACTCCTGACCTCAGGTGATCCACCTGCCTCGACCTCCCAAAGTGCTGGGATTATAGGCGTGAGCCACCATGCTTGGTCCTATATTTATTTTAAGTAGAAAATTAGGTTGAATTTTTAAAAAAATAGGTGTATGTAAATATTCAGATATAATGTATATAAGAATTTCACTTCAAAATAGTCAATAATCACCAAATATTTATTATAAAAAGAGTGTGTTAACTTTGATAGGCTTAAGAAGTAGTTTATAGTAAGCAAAAAAAAAATCACAGTACACTTATCTTAACCCAAAAAGATGTGAGTCACTTACCTTCCATACTAGGGGAGGGGAGAGCAATTATGATAAGCACAGGAAGAATCATCACTCCATCTACCATTGTCCAACTGTAAAGGGAAAAGAAGAGATGTAAGTAAAGCATAAACATCTAACTGCAGGAAGACAAATTAAATTAAGCATACCACCTTCAAACTGCCAGTCAAGGCCCTTCTTACTAATCATCCTCAGATATATTGCCTTATGTACTACTACATTTAAACATACACCTTTTATGTAGACCTAAACATATCACCTTAAAGAGTTAGTCCTATTCACTTCCAACTGGCAGTCACTCAAGGGTACTTTCTCAGAGTCTACTCTCTTACAAAGAAATCAATCAGAAAACGAAAAATTTTCAGCTATAAAGTGAGGCACGTTCCAAAAGATTTTAGGTTTGAATTTTATCTTACCCCATTTGAATGCAAAATTGGCACTAAATTAAAAACCCTGAGAAGCATGAATAGACTATTTTAACACGATGTTAAAGATTAAGCGACTGAATAATTCAAGCCAAATGCTTGACTCTATGCTAGAGTCTCATTTCTCCTTTAAAAGGACTGGAGGTAGAGCAACCTACATCAACATACAGACCTAAAGCAAAAACAAAGAACAAAAAAATACAAACTTTTACCCCATCTAAGGCAAAGCAATGCATTTCTCCATTAAACAAATTTAACAAGGATAGACAACTAAAATCATGTAAACATTTTTTTAAAAATTTTCCATTTGAATAATGTAAAATATCAGGAATGTGATGGGAGTTTGGTTAGCTGCAATTTTCTGGATGGTAAAATAAAGAAAAAGCTGGTAAAGTTCTTTAATGATAGGTTAGTGTGCTTGTACTCTTTCAGCTTTAAAGCAAAGAGTGAAAGCCCATTGCTATCTAGCATGTCTGGAGTGTTGACCTTTAAAATCAAATTATTTAGGCTGGGTGCGGTGGCTCACAGTTGTAATCCCAGCACTTTTGGAGGCCGAGGTGGGATGATCACTTGAGCCCAGGAGTTTGAGATCAGCCTGGGCAACACGGTGAGACCCCATCTCTATTTGTTTTTAATTATTTTTAAAATTTAAAAAAAATCAATTTTTTGGGCTGGCAATCTGTTTACCATCCATACCTCCATCATATCTTACCACCCTTCACTTAAATTTATTTATCTTTGGTTCCATAATTATATTTCAGTCAATCCCTTTCCTAAAAGCAAGGTAAGGGAGGAAGTAAAGGGGATTTTTATGTACCTTTCTCTTCTATTATGCTTTTAACATATGAAACTTGAACAAGATCCTACTACTGTTGTTGTTTTTGTTATTTCCATGTTCACACAGATATTTCCTATAAGTGAGTCCTTTTGGGGACATATAAATCCTTCATCTTGGCCCCTCACAACCAGAATGTGACTCCTCCAACACATCTCTGTACCTTTGGACATGAATATGCTTTTTGTTCCCCTCTGCTTGAACTGCCCTGAGCCCCCTCCTCTACCCCTCTCCAACCCCATTGCCTCCTCCTGTCATACATGATTCCAGCTCAAAGGTAAGTCCTTGGTGAAAAACCTCTCCCTCAGCAGTGGTTTCAGCCCCGGGCATGGACTCATAATCATCTGTCTAGGGCAGTCTCCAGCACTGGTCCCCTCATCTCCAAAACAGGTATGCACATCCAAGGAGCAAGCAAGGGTCATTCATTGAGCTATGGAATGAAATTATTAAACTGCTTTTTCATAAGAATGTTTTAATCTAGTAAAGTAGAAAATAACTTGAGACTTAATCTGGTCTCTATCTCAGTTGTCTATGACAGTCTAGTACAGGAGGTATCTTACAGAAAGACTACGAGTTACATAACGTTAGAGTGGACATGATTTGCTTATAGAGTACAACCATGTACTTGTAGTTTTGAAGGTCCGTTCAAGTGGAATTACAGGTTACACTGGCTACTTACGGTGAAATGAGGCTTCCCAAATGGCAAGTGTTCTAAAACCATTAAAGAAACTAGAGATTGCACATATTATTAATGCAAGCACCAGAGAAGAGTAAGAAAATGGTAAACTTAACATCACTTATTTCTACTGGTTCTTCCTTAACCACTTTACTAGAGAAAAGTAGTAATATTCAGTTCAATCTGACAAGAAACAGTCTCCCCAAATTCAAAATTTGAAAACATTTGAAAAATGGATTTGCAACTACTGTCATAGATAGTAAACATTATCCTGAGTGGCTTGAGACTTTCATTGATGATAACATTATTCCACTGCCATTGGCAACACCTTAAATATTTTACGCTTATTTAATTGCTATTTTATGAATGTTTTATAATATGTACTTATTTATCTTATGTAAAATGTATAGCCAATTTACATATTGTGGGTGCATCAAAAAACTTTCTATGGGATATGTCATCACAAACCATTGAAAATTGCTGAACTAAACTATTTCTTATTTCAGTCTTATCTGAATTCCCAGTCCTTCATTAACACATTAACGCATTCAAAAACTACTCAAAACCTACTATGTGCTACATATTAGAAGCCTAAAATGGCAAATACAAACAGGGTCCTTGCTATCGTGGCACTTACAAGATATATCTATGGTGGTAATGAAATAATCATCAAAAGATTGCATAATTAAAAACTGAATTAAGAGTTGGGAAGAAACATAGTTAAAATAACCATGTTAACAAAACAAAACAACTTGAGACTTTCTGGAGGGTGCAGAGGTTCCCTGGGGAGGTAACATCTGAAAAGGAATCAGGAATCAGAAGGATGAGTACAGGTCCTAGGAAAAGGGTAAATGTTTTGGGAATGTGGTGGGAGAGGGTAAACAAAGGACACAGATAGGGTAATACTTAAGGGAAAAGGCACTTCTCTTGAGGTGCCTGTGGCCAGAGCAAGCATGGTGTGTCCTGAGGACTTAAGGCAAACCTCAGGACCAAAAAAACGCAAGAATGGCCAGGACACAAAGGGTCTGGAAGAGTTACAAAAAGTCGGAGAGCACCCAAGAAGGCTAGAGAGGAAGGCAAGGGTCAGAACAGAGGTAAGGCACTCTAGGCCCTCTACTTACCTAACTTCATTGCCCCCTTCGCTCTCACCATCATTCTGCAGTTCCTCAGTCCCCACTATCCATTATTATCACCCCCACCAGGCCACTTTCTGCCTATCTCTGGACATTTCTACGTGATGCTCCCTATGATTGGGCCCTTCTTTCAGGGCCCAACCTACTGAATTCCTACTCATCCTGTAAGTCTCAATGGCTTCTCTAAAGGCTACCACCTTCTAGAAGCCTGTCTAAACCCTTAAATACTCTCTGCTCATTCTTATAGACCACTTTAAGTTTCACTCATACAAATCATCCTAATTAATAATTATGTATTCACACCTGTGTGTGCTTTTGAACATCTGTCTCTGTCACTAGACTGTAAACTCCATGGGAGCAAAATCTATAGTCTATCTTGTTCATCACTGCCAAAGCCAAGTAGGTGCACATTTAATAACAGTTTAATTAGAATTTTTCCTGAATTAATCGGCTCAATTTAAGTTTAAATTCTAAAGAATTAACAGCAGCCCCTCCCTACTATGCACACAGACACACACACAGAGACCTGCAAAGGAATGGCAAGATTAAGAGATTTATCATCTCTATAACTTTAATCTGTAGAATTTAGCTAAAGTAATAGTAAAAGTCAACAGTTAACAAGCTTCAAAATCAAGACTCCTTTTACTATTAAAAAAAAAAAAAAAACTAAGAAACAATCACCACTGGCATATTTTCCACATCACAAAGCCAGCAAAAGCCCACGTCCCAAATACCTATTAACAGATTATCATTGTGCGAACAAAATTAAAACAATAATTTAGGCTCATAAATAGAAGACAGAAAAAGAATTATAAATTCAGACCTTCAAACAGTAGGGACTAATTCCGTCTCCAGTGTTTAAAGACAGCTCAAAATCTGCCAAAACTCTTTGGGAAAAAAGTCAACTTACTGGTTGCCATTTTGTTCAGGGTCTGCAGTGCTTCTCCTGACCAGTAAGCTCAGCTATTAAAAACAGCATCCCCAAAAGGAAAGAAAAAAAGAATGTAGAAAGGGGAATGCTCTGGTATTTCCTGACTATATTTCAATTATAAGAAACATCAATATGCTAAAATCTCAACCTGAAGTCCCAAGGATCTATTTTTAATTTTAAAATATACCAAAAAGAAAACATCATTTTTAAAAGTAAAATTTCGACTCTCCTACTCTCATATATTTTTGGCTAAGGAGTTTTCATATGTAAGTTGGCAAGAAAGAGAGACTAATAGTGGAAAATGGGAGTGGCAATAACTCAATAGTTCTAGGATTGCCTTACTCCAGTATTTTTAAAACTTTTTTTGGTCTCAGAATCTCCTTAAACTCTTGAAAATTACTGAGAAGCGTGTGTATGTAGGCTACATCTCTTGATATTTACAGTGTTAAAAATTTAAACAGAATCTTAAAAATATTCTATTCATAATAAAATAACAATAACATACTACCTTTTTTTATTTTAAAAGAGCTATGATGTATTTTTTAAAAAACATGTTGTGAGAAAAGTGGCATTGTTTTCCTGCTTTTTTGAAAATCTCTGATTTAATAAAAGACAGCTGGATTCTCATATATGATCTACATTCATTCTGTTACATCATGTACTGGCTGCAGCATATATACAAAATCCAGTATCACCCATATCATTGGAAGAAGGAAGACCTTGTGAAACCCCTGAGAAAGTCTCAGGCGCCTTTGGAGTTCTTGGACAACACTTTGAATAACTGACTTAGTCCTTAAACGCTCAGTCTTTGTACTCTATCAGATAACCAGATGGTACCAGATATTTTAGACTGAGCACTTACCAGATACCTGACAAAAATGACACTGTTCTACAGTTTTAGAAATTTCATTAACCTCTCTAACATCACAGACGTCAACAAGTCCAACAGTCAAGGAAGAAAGTATTAACTTTTTTTTAATGTTGGAATAATATTTTATGTATACAGCTAAATATTTTTGAAATGGGATATAAACTTGTATGAAGGTACTCACAGCTGCTTATCTTGCTTGGGTT